CGACCTACAATCAAGCCTGCTCACTCTCGGCGATGCTGTGCACGTGGCTGTTCACATAAGCAGCAGCAACATCAGCCAGCAAGGTATCTGTCACGGATTGAAACTGTGGTAGTTCACTCCCTCCAAGCTCGATTCAAATCATGTCTGAAGTGCCTGAATATTCGCTTCTCATCTCATCTTCCTGGCTCGCGGACTGTGCTACCATCTACAAATATATAAGTTCCCCGTGATCCTTAGCCTCCAAATGAGACTCTCAATCTTGAGAGGCTGGCAACCAAATGCAGGTGTGGAAATGCTACATTGTGGAAGGAGCAGGGAACCTTAAACAAAGAGTCTGAGAAATGATCTTAAAATTGAAATGCAGCCTGATCTGGAATAAGGAAGCTGCACTACCAGCTACAAGAAGCAGGCCTTCCATTGACTGTGTAAAGTTGCTGTCTATGGTCTGGTGGCTCTACCTTTTCGGCCGATTCATACCGAATCAGTCAGTCACGACCACCTTGTTGCTGCACAATCCCTGATTGCAGGTGGCAAGTAAAGATCCCATATCCATCCATATCCCAACACGTACCAAGAGCCGAGAAAGATTGGGACTTTGAAGTGTCCGAAAACTCAAATCATTTGTGAACTGGATTGAGGTTCTTGGCAAACAACTGTTCAGGGTTGCTGTTGCTTGTAATTATAGTAATCCCAGTCCGTTAATTATTTCCCCTATTTAGCATAGACACTAACTAGTCATTTCCATGTCTACAGCTAACTTGCCGAGTGCCTACAAAAAGTTGGTCGACTTGCTCAACCCACTTTCTTGAAGGGATAGACAAAACAGTTGTGGCTTTTCATCTCTGAGAGCAGAGTCATGAAAGCGAAACTGTCAATGATGAAGCCACATGATACGACGATACCTTGTATCATATCAAGGAAGACATACCAGTACTATGCATTCATACAACATCAACTTGCCAAACACAATGCCCAGTGCGTTTGACAACATGCGGATTGTTTCGAGTGTTCCTATGCAAAATCCGGTGATCCCCTGCATAAACTGCTTTGTCAGCCCATACAAGGAGGTCTCCTCAGTGCAGATTTAACAGCGTCGTTCGGTGGTTGGTGAGCAATCGGGGTGGTGAGCAGTGGTCCGTGCTTCAGACGCACGAAGGTATATGTGTCGGAAAGCGTTATCCCTCTTGTCCCCAATGTATGAATCCACATGAATCCAATTTCTCGCTACATCCTTCTCACAGCGAGCCTTCATCATCTCAGTGCTTGTGATCATGGTCGATGCCTGATTGGTCAAGATGACCCACTCAAACTGTGTTCTAGTAGTAACAAAAAGCCACTAGGTTGGAGGCCATCGCTTTTAGGGTGGAGGCCATTACTTCTAGTAGCAAGGATCGCCGTTCTTTCCGCCTCGTCTTGTGCCCCGTTGTCCTGAGTGCCCTGCTGGCGGGATGGTCGTGGCTTGCGAAGCCGTCTTTTGGACTCGTTCAGGAACCACCTCTCCAAATGAATGTCCCACTTTAATCTGCTGAACTTGGTCCTTGTGCGTTTCATTTTGGCAACATATAAAATAGTATACGTGCCCGTGAGTACAGTGTATGTCAAAGGTCATCACGTGTTCTTCTTGTCTTCTGTTTTCCACAGCTTTCTGTAGTTTCCATCAACTTCTCTGTTCGGTATGTAGTTCCAATATGGTGTATTATGGTGTGCACCCTTGAGCTACAAGGCCTCATCGTCTACCGCCCATCGTACCTCAAGATTTCGAGCTTTAGACGAAAGAGGCTGACTCGCGAATACATCAATATCTGGATGCTGGATGCATCTGCTAATGGGATTGCTCTCGCGCTGTAGCATCATATACTGTAGATCATATAGAATAGATTGCCAGCTTGGTCTAAAGCTCCTCGTTTGGTTTCACGCAAACAACAAAGAGCAACTCAGATTCACACATGATGATGATGCGAAGAAGGTCCACTCCTGTCGGGTTGATTAAGATATCTAACATATCTATGTTCAGATTCGGCCATCAGCTGACCGTTGATCAAGTGAAGACCACTTAGAAACTGATGCCAACTACACTTCGGGACTACAGAACTTGTAGCAGTCTGTCAAGTCTGAAGCTCGTACAAGTGATCAGAATCATCCATAGCATCCATACGGGAAGGCATCGGTGGCCTCGAATGCAGCACAGCAATGGTGACACTGGTGTCAATGGCTTGGGATCAGCCAGTGCTTTAAGAGCATAGGATTTACAGTCAGGTCCTTTGATTCAATGCATTTCAATGCTCAGTGTTGCGTTCAAAACCTGTGCACACGAGCTAAGACCAGCGACGGAAGTGGGTTATCCGGCTCCGCGAACCTCCGAGCAGTCACGTTTCGCATGGCGAGCATGCTCCGGCTCTCCTGTTCGTTTAATCCCAAGGCATCCGGCCAAGCACCGAGGCCCATGAAGCCAAAGACACCTCTTCTCAGAACCGACACGTTTGCAACAGCGACCGGAATTCCTCTCGACAGCGACCGAATCGTTGGAACCAAAGAATAGTAACAAGTGCCACGTGCCTTACTAGTAGTCACAAGAAGCTAGTAGAAACAAGAATAAACTACATTAAATTAGAATTAATAGCTTCTTGTTACTACTAGTAAGGCACCTGTTACTACTAGCGTGGCACTTGTTAGTGCAAGCGGCCTTTGTCGCCTCCATCCCTCGGGCTGCCAGGTGGCCTGCAAGTGGCATTTGGAATCTGTGGAGCATAGTCAAGGCATGCCAAGGCGAGCGTCTGCAGTTTGCCTTTGACAGGCCGTTTTCCCAGAGCGTGCTGAGGCCCATGCAATGCATCTGGATCCCTGGACCTGACTACTATCGACACAAAAATCCTTTATGTGTTCGTTGTTTCCACTAGCGATGGCCTCCAACCTACTAGCGATGGCCTCCAACACGAATCATCACAAAGGCCACGTAATCAGCATGAGCAACGACGTTTAACGACATCACATCTTCAATCTGAGGTTAGAGCTCACAAGGGAGAGAAGGGGCACTTACATCAGATTCCCTAGCAAAGCCATGTCCAGTCGAACGAGCATTCAGGAATATCCATGCTCTCAAGCTTGGATCTAGCTGCCTTTGATCTTTTGAGGTGCAATCTTAAACAATCTTAAACAAAACAAAGAAAAGTCCATCACTGTGCCTTGAAAAGTTCTTGAACCCTGGTTCGGGATGCTGATGCCTGGGGCAATCAGCCACATGACCACGTGGTTGTAAATCACAGAGATGTAAATACTGAGAAGCCAACGAGCCCTGCAACCAACTCCTTAGAGCGACCCATTCGCATTCGGTGCCAAGGAGCGACCCATCCACGCGGATCTTCGATGCTTCGCACACCGAACGGTAAGCAAAACGCGGGTCAGCGTTTGAGCCCGGGACAGCCAGCTGTTTGAAGGCCCTGAAGGTGGTGGAACAAGAACCTGAGGTCAAATCGAAGGAAGATACCCGCAGCAAAAGGAGCACGTCACACGAAACCGACCATAGACGACACTTTTCGCACCTCCTCGGCTTGTCCATCTTCCACTTCAAACACCCACTCTACTGGTGGCCTCAGCAAAGTGCTGAAACTGTTGGTGAAAACAGTTTGAGGTCGGCATTAAGACGACCACTCATCTTCAGGCCTCAAGTTTCGATCGATATGCAATTTCGCTGCCAAGGGCCCTTCACACTGAGCGGAATACATTACAGACAGATGTGCCGTTGCCAGTGCCAAGGAAGATTTGCATCTCTCATATCTTTGAGCCGAAATCCCACCGATGCAGAAGCAGCTCAACAAGGATCTGAAACAAAGCAGAGAGCCTGGACATGTCAAACTATAACAAGCCCTAGTGAAAAAAGAATTCTCAACAAGCTTCCCAAAAGTCTAGGGAGCTCTTTAACGAAGCTCCTGCCTTCTCCCCACCCCAGCTCTTTTTTGTCTACTACGTACTACCCCTGAACTACGTGATCTACGTGGTCTAGCCCCCGTTCCACCACCCGTGCGGAACGGAACGTACCCCAAACCTTGAAGTCAGAAGTGCAAACCTTTTTACGAAAGCAAAGGCTCACTCAAACGATCACCACCATCACCACCATCACCTGACAGCTTCAGGATGAAACAAAAGTGACTTTGGGAAGGTCACAAGCAGGGGTAGGAGGCCTAGCAGGCCAGCAAATTGCAGATGAGCCAGCCTCCAGAAGTGCTTTGGCTTGGGCGAAAGGGATCGAAAGGCTTCCAGAGTGAACCCTGCCAAAAGCCTACTCAGCATACAGCAGGGAAGGACCGCAGCCAACCTGAGTAAGGAGTCCACCACTGGACTCCCTCCAGCGGCATCACCAAGATTGTCTGAAGCGCAACTGAGAAGCAACAGCAATGGTCCCAGGAAGTATGTCGATGATTCCCATTCAGAGACAGGCTCCACCTTAATTCGGTCGTGATAAGCATTGTAAGTTGTCGACTATCATTGATCATCTCTTGAAGTGATGGGAGTTGTGCGTCTGTGGCCACTTCAAGACGCCTTTTTGGTCTCTATGGTAAGCTTGGATTGCTCGGACAGCGTCCTCTTCCCAGTCGAGGTGAGGCTTCTCTTCATGATGCTCCTCCTCCTCACAAGTTTCACTGGTCCATTGGCTCAGCTTGGGACTGAAATCATTTGGTGTAAGAATAGAATGTAATGTAGGAAATAAAGGGGTTCCCATGCCTTTGATGGGCCTTTTGGTGATCGCTCCGCCCTTGGGCGCGCAAGGCCTAGGGGCCTAGTGACTCAAACAACCCCCAATACAATCTCTCCAACATAATTAGTTATATAATTCGTCATGAGACATGCGCGCCCTGTGTGTATAAATGTTGTGCACTGTACAAGCCTGACTGTTGGTTTTTTGTATAGAAGTGCCCGCCTGCGAGTCAAAGGCCTCCAGGAAAGCCCCGAGTGAAGGAATGTCACCAGTTGCAGCGAGCTCGCTGGTCTTGGAGACCAAGCAGTCAGCTTGCAACCTAAGGGCGAATCGCAAATTGACTAAATTCGTAAATCAAAAGAGGAAGAAAACTCACTTCTTATCATGGTTCTAGATGCGTTCGCTGACGTAAAACATGTTTCGTTCCGCAGCTGTAACTGAAACCGGACCAATACGTGGGTTTAATACCTTTGTAGCCGTCCTGCACATCAAAGGCGCCAAGAGCTGTGCAAGCCGAAAGCCAAAGACCTTTGAGCCAGTCTCAGTGAAATGAACCCCATCGGATTCCCAGTACTTCTTCAAACGGCTTTGTGGACCAAATGGCATTAGGGCCACAGTGTTGATAAACCTCAAAGGGCGACGAGGGCACGTGACATCGACCGAGATGTCCACTGAACCTCGAGTCCATGATGCCAACAGCGAGTTGGCTTCCCGTCGTTGGGCAGGCAAAGCACTCCAACGCTTCAAGCAGCGACCTCCGCTGTCAGGAATTCCCAGAGCCACAGTAGGCACCCCAAGAGAATGGCAAGCTGCATGCAAGCCTCGAGTAGCATCGAAAATCTGCTTGCCATCGGCAAAGCATAGATCATTTGTCCCTGCCATAATCAGCACCACATCAGCTTCCTTGGCTAGATGCCCTAGACCTGAGCCCCAGCGACATTGAAGCGAATCCAAAACAAAAGGCTCCTCAAAGACTTGGATCATCTCATGCGCAGTAGCAGCACAAAGTCCACAAGCAATCACTTCTACCCGACATCCAAACTCCGCCAACGACTTGGAGAATTCTTCACCAAATGGTTTCATGCTCGGAGCACCGGCAGTCAGGCTATCACCATAGATGAGGACCTGGAGACCTGACGGAATTCACTCACACCGAGACCCCTATGAGTAGGCGGTTCTATTTTCATTGGAGTCTTGTGTCTCTGGGAGTATCAGTCAATGAACTCTGACGTGTTTGGAAGAAAATTGCGAATGGGCGTAGGTTCATATGCATTCCAGGTATCACACCTGGTCCATCGCAAGGAAACCGCACAATGGCGCTGCCCTTGTCTCGAGGAACTTCTGTGAGAACCCTCATCACAGTGACCATGCACTTGAGCCACGGGTGAGCACATAGCCCATGCAGAGAAGCTCACTTGATCATTGCACTCCTCCTCTATCCACTAAAAAAATCTATTTTCAAGGACATGCCAAGGGCGTGGCTGTATCTGGCTTGACCTGCAGAAAGCGTTGCCCCAACGAACTGACACCTTTCGTCATTCATATCCTTTCCTTTGCACATCCGAAAATGGTCGCCTGATGCCGTGGGAAGATTGAGACATTACCCCGCAGGTCGTGGACCACCACCGCATGCCTATCAGGAGCATATGATCGATCCTATTGAAATTGTTTTATATATTTTGTTTTCTCCTATTATCTGCAAACCTGAGAAATGAATCGCCCAAGATCCAGAAGTCGACTGCCTCAGCCAGGCCAGTTTTGCAAGATTGCAAAAGGATGGAAAGCTCAGGCCTGCGTAGCAAAACCAGTTCGGCAGGCCTGCGCTAAAGGTTTTCTTGAGCAAACACAAGTCACACAATTCCCTGAACACCTTTGGTCGTCTAACTTTTAACAGCTTCAAGTCCTCACAATCTATACATAAATATAAGGTATGTTAATATATATATATATATTAATCTAGTCATATTAGTCGCAAGCACGGCTCCCATGTTGGGCTGCCTGCTGGTCTCCGTTCACGAGCTCCTGCAATGCAAATACATCTGACGAACATCTCTGTGCGTCCCAATACTTTGATCCATTCATTTTAAATTCTTATGCCATCCCGTGCCATCCTAGAACATATTGGAACCAAGTCTGACTTTCATTATCAAAGACAGCTTTTCATGCAAAACGAGAAGCATTGCTTTTGATTTGACCCCCGTTCTCTTCTTGTGACGACTGTCTTTCCGTGACTCTCACCATCCGCAAGACTTGGAATCCCTGGTTTCAGCGCCCAGCATTATCCACGACTTCAAACATGTGCTGGGGTTCCAATCCTTGGCCATGCGTGGCTGGCGATCGTACAAATAGTTGGAACATCTGCTCCAGCCGGCGACCGAAGTGGATTCCGAGCACTCTGCGAATCAGGACTCCGTCAGTGTGGACGTCCAACGGGCTTGCCTGACAGCAGCAAACAGGTAGATGTTCAAATCAAAGGGAACAATGAAGTCTGCCCCTGGGCATCGCAGTGGAAGGTTGCACTAGTCAATAGTCTAGTGAAGATCCAGCCCAAAAGTCTTAACAACGGGTGGGTGGACGCAGGGATTGCATATGCATCATATTCATTATTGCAGCATCTTGTACTGTTCCAACAAGTGGCTTCTGCGCGTCATCCGACCAAAGCAAGCACAGCTAAAGCTTTGGTTGAGCCAGGTGACTTTCCAGCTTTGTGGCTGGATGGGTTCAGTCTGAAGCCAGCAAACCATCATTCAACACCAAACCTTGGGCATCAAGCTTTGCTCATTCCTGTGGGCTCCATGGGCACAGACGCAAAAAATGTCCCAGAGCACGCTTGAAAGCCGTAGAGACCGACCCGATTTTTGAGGCCAAAAACGACCTCAAATTTGAGGCCAGTTTTGGCTTCAAACATTGAAAAATGGAAGCGTAGAAGGCAAATTTTGAAGCCAGAATTGGCTTCAAAGATCTGCTGATTTCTTATTCGCGGAACTGAAAAACCGAGGCCCCATTTTCATTTTCTGGATGCGCAAGTGCGCCATAAAGCGTCTCCATTTCCTCATCCATCAAATTTCACATACCTCCTTGCTTGCGACAAACCTGGTCTTTTCCACATACCACTTTTTGTGGCCTCTATTGCGCTTTTCAATTTTACGTTGGCGCCAAAATGCAACGTAAACATACACTCTGTGACTGTAGCTACGAATTTATTCAGGTGAGGACAAAGGGTTTCAAACGAGATGCCTTGACATTCATTGCAAATGCGCTGCGTGGCACTCTAGATTCCGAGAAAGTATGGAAGCTTACAAGGTATGATAACTCAGAGCACACAAAGGTGAAGGTTTGGCACAGCCACGATGGTTCAAACATCAAAGTTGCCTCCGCAGCTATAGCACAAGCGCACAGCCTAGGTGACCATTGGTGACCATGCCAAGAACCCTTAGATCTAGTGCTAGATCTAGTGACTAATGATTCTGATACAAACGGAACGGCTCTTTGACAAAACTTAGGTGGTGCGCAGTTCGCTTCTCTGCACAACGCAGCTTTCTTTGAGCCCTCAGTTGAGCTCTTCGGCTCACAAGGTACAACTGTCGGCTTCTTCCTAAACAGTTAAGCTGCACACGCGAGCCAAACATGGCAGTCGAAGCTTGCGCAAAGTCGTCTTTGGGGATTACCTTGCCGCCAAACAGTTGTTCCTTTGATGGTTCATTCTTTGTAGTCAATGTTGATCACATGGCGAAACATGTCAAATGAGAAACGATGAAAATAACATCAAAACTAGTCTGAGTGACAATGAAAGACGTGCCAGTGTCCAAAGCTGCAATCACCTGCAACCCACGGAGAAACCGTGCAGTGCTGAAATGTATCAATAATGTCAATGGCGCCTCCGATCGAAATGTGTCAATAGCGACTGTGACAATGATCACAAAGGCGCAGGTCAACACAAAAATGAGCATGAGCGCCTTCAGACGCGATGCACGTGTAAGACTGTAAGACTGTAAGAGTTGGAGCGAAACCCGAAGGAACGGTCCTGACACATGTCCCAGGTGAACTGGCAACAAGCGCGGAGGCACTTTTGGCCTTACACGCTTGCATTGATGATTGTTCAACCCCCCCAGACCCGTGTGACGCTGGGGAAAACACAACGGCCTATCGAACTTGATGGTTTCCAAGGAAGTTCCCGAAGCCTGCCGCTAAGCCGCTGCACCATCATGACACGAAATGGCCAGCTTTTTGGTTGGAACACTGTGAACGCTCCTGCTTTGTTGGAAGAACGCGAAGAAGAGCATCAACGCGCTAATTTCACACCTTGGTCCAATCTGCTCGGACTGTTCTACATCCAATGCAACCATACCAAGGTCTAGACATACCAATGGCAAGCATATCAGGTCCCTGCACAGAGAATGCTCCCAAGCTTTAACAGCAAAACCCCAGATAGCCAATGAATGCAGATCAGTGCAGATCAGTATGACGGGGTTTCCCAGGGTCTCTTTGAAGGCCTTCTACAAAACTCTGAGGATTGTGGTGTCTGTCTCCTTCTTTTTGCGGGAGCCAAGACTATATAGAAGGCTTCGACTAGTATTGATATTGTCGCATAGTGCTGTGGGAATAAGCTGCCGTGCGTTTCTCACATTGATGCCTACTTCAAGCGGCTAAACTATGTCCATGCGACCCTCGAGTGCACCATCATGAAGAAATCACAAGGGCCACAGACAGACAGACAGACAGACAGACAGACAGACAGACAGACAGACAGACAGACAGACAGACAGACAGACAGACAGACAGACAGACAGCCAGCCAGCCAGCCAGCCAGCCAGCCAGCCAGCCAGCCAGCCAGCCAGCCAGCCAGCCAGCCAGCCAGCCAG